ATAATAATGTCACAGAAGTCAGTCATGTGACTATGGTTGCGGGTAAGGCATGTGAAAATATGGCTTTTTAGGCCAATTTCTTCTGGATTGCATTACAATGCAAAGAGTTAATATTCTCAGTAAAAATGTGACCGATAACATATTTTTCTTCATATCTCAACCAGACACCTAATTAATTCTGTTCACATTGCATTTTCTTTGAATAAATCTGATCTTCTCCCTCATTCAATGTTGCCTAGAGACTCCATATCTTTGCACAAAATGTAGTTTAAATACATAATTATTACATATCATAATCATATAGCTGAACAGCAAAACGAAACTCATGGAGGAGTCAGAAGAAGTTAAAACTTATGCTTAGGCCATACAAAGTTGATTAACTGTTTAACGGATTTCATTGTTTTTAAACTGAGGCGACTGAGCAAATAAAAGAAAATACATTTAAAAAAGAATTGAACTAAAGCACCCTTAAGTACAACACCTAGCAACATTACCAAGAGATTTTTGCCTATTGGTAAAATGGTTTTGGAATGACAGTCACAGGGATCAGGGTTTAAGTCCTGGTCAGGGTACCCCCCCTAATTAACTACATTGGTGTCAGAAGTTGGATAGCACTATTGAAAGCCTGTCCTGCCACAGTTCATTCAGTTTTAGGCACAGTTCATTTTTTCAGAGGCATAGTTCTGCCATTTCTAATAATTGATGTGCTATTTGAAATATATAGCAGTCTTCTAAAGAAATCAGACCTACTCTTACTATAATGAACTGCTTCAGCTTCTATTCAGCTTGAATTCTACATTCATCACATCTCCCACTACCATACAAATCTTATTTTTAGACAGCGGAAGCAAGCACACACATTTTCTTCATGAAATGTACCTTTTCTAGTTGCCATATTTATCTTACCTTAGAAGTGTTTACTTTGCACACTGACTAGCATCTATTGAGTTGCAATGTTCCATAAATTGAATGCCCAACTCAACTTGAAGTATCTACAAAACAAGTTTTGTAGCCACATAATCCAAAAGGAAGGCTACAGCTAATCTTTTTCCCTACAAATACTGTTCGCAATTCACAAATGATTATTTTGATTCACATGATTTGATTCACAGCAATTGAACCGGATACCAACAATAGCGAAGTGAATCGTTTGTTTCATCAACAAATCATTTAAAAGAATCAATTCATATGAATCAAATGAATCGTTAGAAAAATGTGTTGTTGAAAAATGTGAAACGGGCATCTGTTAAACAGTAAATCAACATTGTATGGCCTTATTGGACAACAAACATTGCTAATTCACAACGCACAAATATGATTATTGTATCTACACTAAATAGATAGTAAAGTCTTTACTACAACACCTGTCCTGTGGACTCATGGTCATGGTAAGTTAGAAGGGTATGCCCACCTTGCCTGACCTACTTTAGAGATAAGTCTATAGGGAGAGATTGAACTGGCCTGCTCAGGCCAACTGGTTCTCTGCAGGGGGAGATACTGTACTGAGGACAGCGGAGCAGAGCAGAGGCTCAGAGCACCGGGCTTTACATGGCTCCAAGAGCTTCTGGACACTGCAGAGTTCCCACAGCTCACTGCCCATTGAATGCTTCTCATTGCCTCTAGTCATGGGTTCTCTAAGTAGAGAAACTGACTTGTGAGTGAAACAATGTTAAAGCGTTTTCTGTTCAGCTTATTCTCAGGTTTATCTAGGTGAGTTCCTTATAAAGTGGACAATAATTACACCATTTAAATGGATTATATTAGTCTTTATTTAAAATGTATTTCATTTCACACATTTTATAATTGCATCTCAAATTGTTATTCATTTGTCTATGTAACATGTCATTATGAAATTCCTTTGGTCCTTCAATAAATAAAACTAAGATATACACATTTATTCTTTATACAATTTAATACAGTTAAGAGGAAATTACGTTGGTCTATTTTTGTCTAAGGAGAATGAGAATTAGAACCATTTAATTGGTTATTTAGGTAAGTGTTTACTGCTTTGAAAATGCTAAACAAAATTCAATAACATTCTATTAGCTATATCATCTACTTGCAATGTTTCTGCCTTCAATTAACCTACATATTGGAGTTTTAAATATATCTTAGCAGAAAAAGTAACTCAAATCAATTCTCAATCGTCATGAACTGTCCAGGAATTTGCACTAAATAAACCAGAAAAATCTAAACTTTGTAAACCAGAGCATTCAAAAAGAACATTAGTAAACGTTCGCTAGGACTTATAAAAACCTGAAGTCCCTTAGCATAAGTTGGATATCATAAACGGTATATGGCATCACTATATTACAGTTCAAACTGTGGTCTTGACAGGTGATCTGAACTTTACAGTGCCTTGCAACATTATTCATCCCCCTGGGCGTTTTTCCTATTTTGTTGCATTACAACCTGTAATTTAATTAGATTTTTATTTGGATTTCATGTAATGGACATACACAAAAGTGTCAAAATTGGTGAAGTGAAATGAAAAAAATAACTTGTTTCAAAAAAATTAAAAACATAACTAACGGAAAAGTGGTGTGTGCACATGTATTCACCCTCTTTGCTATGAAGCCCCTAAATAAGATTTGGTGCAACCAATTACCTTCAGAAGTCACATCATTAGTTAAATAAAGTCCACCTGTGTGCAATGTAAGTGTCACATGATCTGTCACATGATCTCAGTATATATACACCTGTTCTGAAGGCCCCAGAGTCTGCAACACCACTAAGCAAGGGGCACCACCAAGCAAGTGACACCATGAAGACCAAGGAGCTCTCCAAACAGGTCAGGGACAAAGTTGTGGAGAAGTACAGATCAGGGTTGGGTTATAAAAAAATATCTGAAACTTTGAACATCCCACGGAGCACCATTAAATCCATTATTAAAAAATGGAAAGAATATGGCACCACAACAAACCTGCCAAGAGAGGACCGCCCACCAAAACTCACGGACCAGGCAAGGAGGGCATTAATCAGAGAGGCAACAAAGAGTCCAAAGATAACCCTGAAGGAGCTGCAAAGCTACACAGCGGAGATTGGAGTATCTGTCCATAGGACCACTTTAAGCCGTACACTCCACAGAGCTGGGCTTTACGGAAGAGTGGCCAGAAAAAAGCTATTGCTTAAAGAAAAAAATGTGGTGTTCGCCAAAAAGGCATGTGGGAGACTCCCCAAACATATGGAAGAAAGTAATCTGGTCAGATGAGACTAAAATTGAGCTTTTTGGCCATCAAGGAAAAGCTATGTCTGGCGCAAACCCAACACCTCTCACCACCCCGAGAACACCATCCCCACAGTGAAGCATGGTGGTGGCTTTGGGGATGTTTTTCCATCGGCAGGGACTGAGAAACTGGTCAGAATTGAAGGAATGATGGATGGCGCTAAATACAGGGAAATTCTTGAGGGAAACCTGTTTCAGTCTTCCAGAGATTTGACACTGGGACGGAGGTTCACCTTCCAGCAGGACAATGACCCTAAGCATACTGCTAAAGCAACACTTGAGTGGTTTAAGGGGAAACATTTAAATGTCTTGGAATGGCCTAGTCAAAGCCCAGACCTCAATCCAATTGAGAATCTATGGTATGACTTAAAGATTGCTGTACACCATCGGAACCCATCCAACTTGAAGGAGCTGGAGCAGTTTTGCCTTGAAGAATGGGAAAAAATCCCAGTGGCTAGATGTGACAAGCTTATAGAGACATACCCCAAGAGACTTGCAGCTGTAATTGCTGCAAAAGGTGGCTCTACAAAGTATTGACTTTGGGGGGGTGAATAGTTATGCACACTCAAGTTCTTTTTATTTTCTTATTTCTTGTTTGTTTCACAAGAAAACATATTTAGCATCTTCAAAGTGGTAGGCATCAATCAAATGATACAAACCCCCAAATATTTCATTTTAATTCCAGGTTGTAAGGCAACAAAATAGGAAAAATGCCAAGGGGGGGTGAATACTTTCGCAAGCCACTGTACCTTTCCTTCAGTCATTACAGAAATAAACCTGTCTCAAAGCAGAAGGTACCACACCTTCCCTCAACTGGCTAACCAATACTGAATCGACGGAATGCAAAAACATCAACAACTTTAGTGTTTTTCACAATAGCCTACACTATACAGTTAAGGACAGGAGACACTGACTGTATAAGATATAAGCTATATATCAGACTAAATCATAGACAAAGAAAGCTAGAAGCAAAGGTTTGGGTGTGTGTTGAGTTGACATTGTACGACCTTCAAATCAAACCAAGCAAGTTAACTTTTTATGCTGCACATTGACCTCTACATATCAACCTGAAAGACCACATGGAGGTCCAAACTAAAATCAGAGTGAGAGTGTAAGAGCGTGAGAGAACATTTCTGGGTTATTAGCACTTTGTTGGATCGTGTGAATGACAGTCCCACGTCGGAAACTGTTTCACAGTGTATCGATGTAGCACCAGTGTGTAGTGGTCTCAAGAGTCTTGTCCCATCCTACCAGTTCAACCATCAAAACAAGTGTCAAAGGGAGAGATAGGTACAACTACACAGCAAAGCTTCAACAAAAGAAAAGTCTCTCAAAGTATACAGGTGCAACAACTAATAAATAAGGGTCATAATGTTTCAGTTGTTAAAATGATGGTGGTTATTGTGCACAGCAGATCATTTCTTTACACAAAAACAAAATGTCGGCCACACGTCCACGTACAAATATCAAACAATACATACAAGTGTCAGGATGCCACCAGGGGGGGCGCTATTCCCGTCAGCCCCACTCTCCCGCCTGGGCCATGCTCAACGTGTACCCATGATTGGACGTTTCTCCATCAGACGCACGCCTTGGGCTGCTCCAATCAGACGGCTCCAATCAGACGGCTCCAATCAGCTAGCTCTCTCAGCATCCAGGGACGGTGATGGAATGAAGGCGGAGGCAGGGGGAGAGGCAGTGGTAGGAAGGTGAAATATCTCCCCCTAAGGGATCCGATCCACAGAGTCCTCTTGGAGCACCTGGACTGTAGGGCTCAGAAGGACTCGTCATGCCCCACAGAGAGCTCTCCTTTGGGGGTGGAGGCGCGAGACGAGCTCTTGTCCATGCTCTCGGAGCCGGAGCTCTGGTGCCGCTGCTCGGAGCCGGAGCTGGACGTCACAGTGGACGAGGATGTGGACGAGGAGCGGGTCTTCTCCTTAAAGTCCGTTATGATGACTGTCACGTTCCCCACCGTTATGGCTAGCTGCTGGGCGGTGCTCCGGTCAATGTTCTTCAGTTTGGGCCTGGTCAGCAGGGGGGAAAACACAGGGTTAGGATTACATTGATAAAACTGCCTTACTAAGCTACAACCACAGTGAGGTGGGCAGCACAGTGTGGGTGGTTAGACCCAACTGCTCATTTCACTGTATACTACAAGACCAACCAGGAGTAAGAGGGAGAAAGTGAGAGTGGGTGTAGAACATGAAATACCATTTATGAATCACTTGAGGTTTCCTACGGATTTGGCCTTTAAAAGGATACTTTGTGATTTTGGCAATTAAGTCCTTTATCTACTTCCCCAGTCAGATTAATTAGTGGATACCATTTGTATGTCTCCGAGTGCAGTTTGAAGAAAGTTGCTAACTAGCATTAGCGCAATTGCTTACTAGCATTAGCACAATGCCTGGAAGTCTATGGTAACAACTAGCATGCTCCCATAGACTTCCAGTCATTGCACTAATGCTAGTTAGCATTGGCTAGCAAAACTACCTCTAACTTCCTTCATACTGGATGCAGAGACATAAAAATAGTAACCATAAATTAATCTGACTCTGAGTATCCCTTTAAAGTAGCAATCAGCAGTTGAAACAATAATAGTGTTCTCCTCACCCCCGTTTCGGTAAAAAGCGGAGGAATGGGCTGGATAAATGTAACCACTCTAAAATTAATATACAGAGCTACGGATCCATAATATCAAAAATTATCATTTTAACCATGTTTTGAGACTATATAGTGTATGTTTACATTTACTTTGTTTACAAACATTGGCGTAAAACAAGCTTATATTTTGGGTTCTGATAGGGTTTGACAGTTGAACTAAGCTCCTGAGACATTTATTTGTTATATTCTTCAAGAATCCATGGGTACATAAAAATTAATTTATTAGTCCAAAAATGGATGTAGCAACCGCTGATTGCCCATTTTAGAATATCTTGTATGAGTTCCAATTTAAATCCCATGACAGATTCTCACAATGTCAAATCAATGCAGTTTTAAGAAAATAGAGTTAAGAAAATATTTACTAAATAAATACAAATAAAATTACAAAATAAAATAACAATAACGATGCTATATACAGGGGGTACCGGTACTGAGTCAATGTGCGGGGGTACAGGTTAGTCGAGGTAATTTGTACATGTAGGTAGGGGTAAAGTGACTATGCCTAGACAATAAACAGTGAGTAGTAGCAGCAGTGTAAAAACAAAGGGGGGGGGGGGGGTCAATGTAAATAGTCCAGGTGGCCATTTTATTAATTGTTCAGCAGTCTTATGGCTTGGGGATAGAAGCTGTTAAGGAGCCTTTTGGACCTAGACTTGGCGCTCCGGTACTGCTTGCCGTGCGGTAGCAGAGAGAACAGTCTATGACTTGGGTGACTGGAGTCTTTGACAATTTTTGTCAACTGTAAGATACTGTCAGTACTAGTAGTGGAAGACATGCGTAAGAGGAGAATTACCCACCTAGAGATGTGAGAGTTGTTGGTCTTGGTTGTTGACTCCCCAGACTGTATGCTGGGTGGACTCTGATGAATGTCTGTCTTGGGTCTGCACAGGAAAACACAGAGGAGTATATTAGTAAAGTTCATGTCTGGAGAGGAAAGATGCTTGCACAAACACTGAACAGACATCTTATTCCTTTATAAATACACACTGACCTGATCTTTTTGATGCTTGGTTTCTTAGCAATGGGCCTGGCTGGGCTGATCTCTTTGATGCTGGGTTTCTTGGCAATGGGCCTGGCTGGGCTGATCTCTTTGATGCTGGGTTTCTTGGCAATGGGCCTGGCTGGGCTGATCTCTTTGATGCTGGGTTTCTTGGCGATGGGCCTGGCTGGGCTGATCTCTTTGATACTGGGTTTCTTAGCGATGGGACTGGCTGGGCTGATCTCTTTAATACTGGGTTTCTTGGCGATGGGCCTGGCTGGGCTGATGTCTTTGATGCTGGGTTTCTTAGCGATGGGCCTGGCTGGGCTGATCTCTTTGATGCTGGGTTTCTTGGCGATGGGCCTGGCTGGGCTGATGTCTTTGATGCTGGGTTTCTTAGTGATGGGCCTGGCTGGGCTGATGTCTTTGTTGCTGGGTTTCTTAGCGATGGGCCTGGCTGGGCTGATGTCTTTGATGCTGGGTTTCTTAGCGATGGGCCTGGCTGGGCTGATGTCTTTGATGCTGGGTTTCTTAGCGATGGGCCTGGCTGGGCTGATCTCTTTCCCTATTTCTTTCTCCTCCTCTTTCTCTGGCTTCTCTGCTTGGTCCTTGTCTGGCTTCTCCTTCCCCCTCTGGTCTTTATCCAGGGGAGGTTCTACTTCTCCTTCTTCTCCTTCTGGCCTCACTCTCTCCGGAAGCTCTCCCTCAGGGTGCTCCCCCTCCCCGTCCAAGAGCTCCCCGTCCGGGCCGTGCTCCATCTCAGGCCTCTCCTTCCTCTCCTTCTTGGGCGGGGGAGGCATCGCGTACTGCTGAGCCACCTGCTGGGCCACCAGCTGGGAGTTGATCCTGGGTTTCCTGTAGAGGCCAGGGCACAAACAGAGATTTGCAGGCAGCAGCAACTCCAGGCTCAGCTTACTCAGGACATGATGACCATGAGCAGCCCCTGCCTGACCACATAGCAACACACACTCTCTGTATCATCTTATAAGGAGTTTGCTGGATTGAGCCACAGTGCCTCTGTGGAGTGAAAGGGTTAATGTACACACACGGCTGGCTGGGTGTAAGTGACAGCTCTTGGTCGGGCTGGTCTGTTTGAAGAGTAATCTCACTAGCTCAGTGCTGTAATAAAATGAATGTGGGAATCACAAGGTGGGACATTTGCAGCCCGTCATTTACGTCCTCTAATCTGATTACTGCAGCGTTGGCCCCATTTGTCAGACTGGGATACACAGGGACGTGCAGCCCCTCACTTACTAGCTGGCTAGCCTACCAGAGCAGAATGAAGTCACTCTCTGTGGCTCGCTCTGTCGTCACTCACACACAGAAACACCTAGCCTTTTCTCTTTGAGCCAAACCATTCTCATTCAGCAGGCAAATGCGTTGTGAGTGAGAGATGGAGACAAATGAGTGCCTCGTATATGAATAAAAGTATCTAGGATAAAAGGCTCAGTGGGAGCTCATCACTCTTCATCCTGAGAGGTTAGGACAGGTACCTCATGAAAAACAAATGTACGTTTCCTCTCTTAAAAACACTTGAGTCAACTGAATGAGAACCCGGGGATTATCGTGTGAATAACTCCCGACTAAGGGCTGTTCTTAGGAAACAGCCCTTTGGAGGGTAATATTCACAATCATTCCTGGGTTATTGCTTTTATAAAACGGTTACCCCATTTTTTTTATTTTTAAGATTACATGTTTTCAATAAAACATTTATTTTCATTAGTCAATTAATTTTCTTTCATCCTTCCACCTGACGAAGTTGCTAGCCAAATGAGCTGGTCGTCCATTCCAAACATTCTAAGCAATAAAGGTTGCCAGGCAGGCTACAGTAGCTACCAACTAAAGCTAGCACACAATCACACCAAGCAGCTGAAATGACCGCAAATTGCATTCTCATTTGTTTCTATTGCCATTTCTTTGGATATATCCATTATAATGATCCTGATAAATGAATTCACCTGGCTCAGAAGTTGTCAGTCTCTTCATGTTCATTCTCTCTATGGCAGCTGGAGATTGCAAAAAAAACTGCAACATTGTTGCACAGGTCAGCGAGGAAGGCAGCAAGGTTTAGACTAAGCCCAACTGTTGCTTGCCAAATGCTAACCGAGTAACATAGGGAAATAATGGCTAGACACTTTTTTCCTGGGGAGATTAAGTTTATGAATTACCAGGCATGGCTGTGGGACAGTGGAACTGTTAACAGGCATTACCCTGGGGATTGCTATCAACCAATCAGCATCCAGGATCCAAACAAACTGTATTATAACAGATTTTAAGTCCCTACGATTATATACAGTACCAGTCAAAAGTTTGGACACACCTACTCATTCTAGGTTTTTTTTCTTTATTTTTACTATTTTCTACATTGTAGAATGATAGTGAAGACATCAAAACTATGAATTAACACATATGGAGTCATGAAGTAACCAAAAAAAGTGTTAAACAAATCAAAATATATTTTATATTTGAGATTCTTCAAATAGCCACCCTTTGCCTTGATGACAGCTTTGCACACTCTTGGCATTCTCTCAACCAGCTTCATGAGGTAGTCACCTGGAATGCATTTCAATTAACAGGTGTGCCTTGTTAAAAGTTAGTTTTAATGCTTTGAGCAAATCAGTTGTGTTGTGACAAGGTAGGGTTGGTATACAGAAGATGGTCTTTTACCAAATAGGGCTAAGTCCATATTATGGCAAGAACAGTTCAAATAAGCAAAGAGAAACGACAGTCCATCGTTACTTTAAGACATGAAAGTCAGTCAATCCGGAAAATGTCAAGAACTTTTAAATTTTCTTCAAGTGCAGTCGCAAAAACCATCAAGTGCTATGATGAAACTGGCTCTCATGAGGACCGCCACAGGAAAGGAAGACCCAGAGTTACCTCTGCTGCAGAGGATAAGTTCATTAGAGTTACCAGCCTCAGAAATCGGTAATTAAAGGAACCACTACTAAAGGACACCAATAATAAGAAGAGACTTGCTTGGGCCCAGAAACAAGAGCAATGGACATTAGACCGGTGGAAATATGTCCTTTGGTCTGATGAGTCCAAATTTGAGACTTTTGGTTCCAACCGCCGTGTCTTTGTGAGACGCGTTGTGGGTGAACGGATGATCTCCGCATGTGTAGTTCCCACCTTAAAGCATGGAGGAGAAGGTGTTATGGTGTGGGGGTGATTTGCTGGTGACACTGTCAGTGATTTATTTAGAATTCAAGGCACACTTAACCAGCATGGCTACCACAGCATTCTGCAGCGATACGCCATCCCATCTGGTTTGGGCTTAGTGGGACTATCATTTGTTTTTCAACAGGACAATGACCCAAAACACACCTCCAGGCTGTGTAAGGGCTATTTGACCAAGAAGGAGAGTGATAAGTGCTGCATCAGATGACCTGGCCTACACAATCACCCGACCTCAACCCAATTGAGATGGTTTGGGATGAGTTGGACCACAGAGTGATGGAAAAGCAGCCAACAAGTGCTCAGCATATGTGGGAACTCCTTCAAGACTGTTGGAAAAGCATTCCAGGTAAAGCTGGTTGAGAGAATGCCAAAAGTGTGCAAAGCTGTCATCAAGGCTATTTGAAGAATCTCAAATATAAAATATATTTTGATTTGTTTAACACTGTTTTGTTTACTATATGATTCCATATGTATTATTTCCTAGTTTTGATGTCTTCACTATTATTCTACAATTTAGAAAATAGTAAAAATAAAGAAAGACCCTGGAATGAGTAGGTGTGTCCAAACTTGACTGGTACTATATATACACACACACTACCGTTCAAAAGTTTGGTGTCACTTAGAAATGTCCTTGTTTTAAATTTTATGTCCATTAAAATAACATCAAATTGATCAGAAATACAGTGTAGACATTGGCGTACAGACTCAGATTACAGGCTCAAAATGGCCAGAAACAAAGAACTTTCTTCTGAAACTTGTCAGTGTATTCTTGTTCTGAGAAATGAAGGCTATTCCATGCGAGAAATTGCCAAAAAAACTGAAGATCTCGTACAACGCTGTGTACTACTCCCTTCACAGAACAGCGCAAACTGGCTCTAACCAGAATAGAAAGAGGAGTGGGAGGCCCCGGTGCACAACTGAGCAAGAGGACAAATACATTAGTGTCTAGTTTGAGAAACAGACGCCTCACAGGTCCTCAACTGGCAGCTTCATTAAATAGTACCCGCAAAACACCAGTCTCAATGTCAACAGTGAAGAGGCGACTCCGGGATGCTGACCTAGGCAGAGTTGCAAAGAAAAAGTCCAGTTTGTGTTCTTTTGCCTATCTTCATCTTTTCTTTTTATTGGCCAGTCTGAGATATGGCTTTTTCTTTGCAACTCTGCCTAGGTCAGCACCCCGGAGTCACCTCTTCACTGTTGACAAGTTTCTGACCATTGTGAGCCTGTAATCTTACCCACAATTGCGGATGCTCCAGATACTCAACTAGTCTCAAGAAGGCCAGTTTTATTGCTTCTTTAATCAGCACAACAGTTTTCAGCTGTGCTAACATAAATTGCAAAAGGGCTTTCTAATGATCAATTAGCCTTTTTAAATGATAAACTTGGATTAGCAAACACAACGTGCCATTGGAACACAGGACTGATGGTTGCTGATAATGGGCCTCTGTACGCCTATGTAGATATTCCATTAAAAATATGCAATTTCCAGCTCCAATAGCCATTTACAACATTAACAATGTCTATACTGTATTTCTAGTCAATTTGATGTTATTTTAATAGACAACATTTTTTATTTTCTTTCAAACAAGGACATGCTCAAGTGTCATATACACCCACAGTGTCACCACACAGTGCCACCACACATACACACACAGTTCTCTACTGGAGGTCTGAGATGTGAGTGCTGCGTGTCCCGCATGCCTCCCTGAGCCAGCACACGCTCCAACAGCATAATGGACAACAGCTGGCAGATGTAGGTGGGGAAGAGCAGGGTCTCAGGGGCAGAGAGAGAGAAGACCAGAGAGTGCCATAGACACAGGGTTAGCCAATATTTGGCTCTCACCAGCACAGATAATCATATCACTGGACTGGGTCAGCTCAGTGAGAAATACCAAAGTATACCACACATTTACACACTCAACCATGCCTAAGTGGTGCATGGTTTGCCAGCTACTCAGGAGACACTTCTGCAGGCACAATCCACCTATGGCATCGCCTCCACATCTCATCTACTGAATTGCCAGGAGGTCCTCTATATTGTCTAGCTCAGAGTGTGTCATGTTTAAAGAAACTCTCTGGAAGTTTGAGGGCAGATGGGGACTTCCATGCTTTCTGATCCTCCTGTCTGAGCCTCAGACTGAACTGATAAACAAGCTCTGTCTGGCTCATAGAAAATGTAGCCTACCTGTTGACTAGAATACCGATGAGGTGTTGACTGGTTCTCTCAGAGTCTGTTATGGTTAAGTGGGTCAGAACATGAGCAGAAACTTGATGACAATACTGAGTGGGGCTGTTCTGATGATACAGCTGGCGCTGCCCAAAACATATTTTTGACAACATGGCCCTCAGGCTTGAGTTATGGTTAATTTCAGATGCGGTTGTCTGATTACAATGTGTACATTGATAATGATGCATGGCTGATGAGTTCTGTCTGTGGAGAGGAGAGTGGTTTTAACAAGGCTGCTGGAGTGGTTTACTTTAGAGAGAAACAGCACATCCTAGATATCAACCCTTTAACTTTCTCTCTCTCTCGGTCTCCCACCTCCCCACTCATCTCCACCATTACTTACGCCCCCACCCCTCCCTCTCACCCACCTTTCTCTCCACCTCCATCTTTCCTGTGCTCCTGCCATTTCCCCACCACCTGTCTGTCTCTCTATCCCCGTTCTGCAGCAGATAGAGAACCCACCGTCTCTCCTTCGGGGTACCAGTCGATCAGAAGACAATCAATCGCTCCATAATAGGGCATCATGTCGTAGCGCTCGCGCTCCAATCAATAGGCAGGCTGTGGTGAATGCTGATGAGGAGGACCTTGTAGTGACTCCACCCAGCACAGCTGGCATGGCTCTGGAGCTAGCCTACTCACTCACTCCAGCAGAATCAATGCCAGTCACACTCCAGAGGAGAGGGGAGGGATCGACATGCTCACATTCAGTAGCATCTGGATGATGAGACACTCAAAGAAACCTAAGTGACTTGACAAGGTTTCACAACTTCATATCAATGTCAATTCTCAATACCCTTGAGGAGCCTCACTTGTACTCTTACACTGGCACCCAAAGTCACTTTGCAACAAGCACTCAAACGCACCAAAACTATTAGTCTCCAATGGCAGGGAATATTGTTGCCAATCCTTCACAGGATTTGGCAGGACGCACGCAGCCCAAACACTCGTAAACAGGTTCTCAGTGCAGCCCGCGTCCGATGGGAACAGAAATAATTTCCTGTGGCAGGTTAAGCTGTCAGCAGAGCGCTGGAGGTAGAAAGTGAGCGTGATTGATTGATTAGCTCACCGCCTCCTTGGCCCATCGCCCCAGAGATTTGTGTCAGACGCAGCAGCAGCAGAGCTCAGCCCAGAGAGAGGGAGGCAACAGGAACAGCCCCAGTAGTTAAGCTGTGATTCAGTGCCAGCTGTAACTCAGCCATGGAATTGTTGCTGGCATGATCATGATCGGAGCGCTGCTCCCCGTTGGCGCTTACTCTACAGTGTATTATTAATTTAGCAGCTACGTCACTGCTACTCTGAACAACCCCACTCTGTGACCCATTAACACGGCTTGCTTGCTGGATCCACATCACCGGGCTGGCCACACTCACCTTGCTGGTAGGCAGGAAACCAGAGCCACTGCGTCTGTACCAAGCCACTTCTCACTGAAAAACACCAGATAAGCCTAGACCGATTAACTTCCTCCTTTTCACACCTCCATAGATAATGATTGACAATTTCTCTGCTGACCTCCCCTTAAATTCCCCTTGATATGGGGTGTGGATTCTAACTCCCCAGGAGGCTATGAAATGACTGTCATCAGCACTAAACACTCTAAACCCAGTTAGACTGAGACCTATGGTTATACTGCCAGCCACACCCACTATATTGACCCAATCATAAGAGGTACTTCCAAGGAACTAGTCATGCATGTCAATATTACCCTCCTACCTGAAGAGCATAGCGAGTGGAGACAGAGAGATGCAAAAAACATACTGTTGAACTTGAAACCAAGCAGTGTTGTGACAGAATTTAGATATTGAGCACTTCTGTAGAGAGAGAAGAGACGGAGAGAGGCGACCACAGGAAAGCCCTCATTAACACGGCTCTTTATTTTGAGTGCTAAGTGGAGGACAGGCAATTACTCCCAGCCAGCCACAGACCCAGAGCATGCAGCAGTGGCAGCTCTAAGAGAGATGAGAGAGATGGGCCTAGACAAAAGGTCCCCTCTACCATGGACAGCCAACTGTAGTCAGACAGTAAGACATCATCATCTGAATCTAAAATACTTATTTTGTTGTCCATATGGCAAGTCAAGCTGTGTAACAGCATTTCTTCTCAGTCAATAGAGCCGAGAGAGCCCCATCTGTGAGGTGAATTTTCTTCGTATTTAAGTCCCATCTTCTTCCTCTGTTTAGGCCTAATCAAGACTGGATTTTCTACTAAATCACAGCCATAGTGTGCACAGTCTTCAGATTCAAAATCGTGTGATCCATTGGGCTTCAGTTTGATCAGAACAGTTCCCCACACCATGTTAACGGAGCATCAAAATCGTGTTACGCGCCAACGTTTTCATGCTGCTGCAGTCATCAGTGTCAAAAATGTGTAGCATGCCTTGATCATTACGCATAACCCAACCCCCTCAGTACAGAGAGGGACTGATGGAGCAGAGGCAAAACTGGCTGCTCTGGAATATGTTAAACAAGCTGTGGCACCCAGCTCCCATAAACCAGTCTGCTAACTGTTTAGTGGTGTAGAGCCTGTTTGCTCCAGCCGGTCGCGAATACAGTACAGTACTGAACAGTGTAGGAGCCTGTAGAGAGCACCTGGAGTTAGGGCTGCACAATTAATCGTATTCAGATCGAAATTGCGATATTGACATGTTCAATATCCATATCGCAAGAGGCTGCAATTTTCTCCTTCTTTGACACTGTTAATACAAGAAAAACTAGACTGCGGTACCTCCTCCAATGAGAGGCGCTAGACCCTGTTCATTCACCCTCTACATGCACAGAGGATACTGGCCAATCACAAGCGGGCTCTCCCACTCTCTGCATGACATGCATATGCTGGCCAATCACATGCGTCTGTGTTGGTGAGGAGAGAAGGGGCTTTACCAAAGACAGTACAGTATGAGGTTCAGAAACTCTGTGGCTTTACCTCAAAGTGTGTATCTGAAACATGAGTGCTACTAGTGCTAATGAGAATTTCGATTTGGTGCCAAAGAAGGGCGCATCTTCAGTGGTATGGCAGTATTTTGGCTACCAAATGCAAGTGTTGTGCAAAAAGTGCCTCAGAGTTGTGGTGAAAACAAGAGGCAACACGACAAATTTATTCAATCATTTGAAGAATAACAGTCCCCTACTTTGTGGCAATTGCGTGGTAAAAAAAAGCACCTGACAGCAGCAAAGCCCTTAAGCCACAATCAGCCACCTATGTTAAACAGGCATTGATTGTCGATGCATTTTCATGTGTAACGCCCTACGAAAAACATCCCGCAGACACATAAAAATCACAGAGGCTATAACTTATCACATAGCCAAAGACATGGTTCCTATTTACACCGTCAGCAAAGATAGCTTCAAGAAGATGATAAACAAGCTGGACAGGACATACAAAATTCCATCTCAGCATCCCAAGTCGCCATCCCAACACTGTACAACAGAATTAAGGGTGAAGTTGAAACATGTCACGTCAAATGACTGGACCAGACACAGTTTTTGGACACAGGCTTCACCTTACAATCGGTAGGCTACGTGTTACATGTTTTTAAGGCACTTTGACTTATCATTTAAATTATAATAATGATTGAGCCTACTTATACATAATTACACAATCATAAGTTTCCTATTCCATCTGTAGCCTATGGCTGCCTGAATACATAATTAACTTAGGTTATTTAAAAACTCAAAATGGTGAAATAAGAAATAGGAAGTCAAAATGTTATTCATTAATTAATTCATAAGTGCTGGGCCTATAGTGCAATATTTTGATGATCATGTTAAACATGTATTTTTGTTAAGATGTAGGTGTAATAATCCTATCTATTATCATATGTAGCATATAACAATGTTAAAAAAGATCCGTTTCATTTGGTTTTGTATTCAGTTAGCACAGTATGTATTCATTCATATGATCTAATTTTTAGAAGTGATTTTCTCTACCCTGACACTTGGTTTAACCATGTCTGATGGAAATACGAAGTTTTCACCCAAGCATTTGAAAACCACAATATCTAGCACCCCCACCCCCAAAAGAAAATCACTATTAGATATTTTGTCCGAATCGTGCAGCCCTACCTGTAGTGGAGAACAGCTCCAGTCTGCAGCACTGTCTGCATGACTCACTGCTGGCTAGAGCCAAGGGCATTATTAAAACATTGAATTAAACAATCATCCATCTCCTCCAGACACAGAATCCTGCACCCCCAAGGGGGATGCCCCTGCATGCCTCCCCATGCCCCAGGTACTCAGTGAGCACAGTGGGCCCCTGCAGAGCCCTCCTCCTTCTCGCCCTCTGTCATGTTCACAGAGGAAAAGAGCACGACAACAAGGCAGCTGAGCATGACATTTAGTTCCCACGGTGATGTGCAGTGACAACTATTCGGGACAGTTGACAAAAGAGAAAAAAAATCGATGGAAATCTTTTTCAAAAAACAAATGGGGCAAGAAATAAGTCCCTCATCATTTTTTTATAAAAATAACTACCACCCTTTAACCCAGACCAGTGTGGGGCTTCTGAGTGTGTGTATGTGTGTGGCCTCCCACTGCGAGATATTCCCTCTGTCTGACCTTCAGGCTACAAATTGCTTCCCCTCAGGGTGATTGACAGCCGTCGTTGTGACAGCACTAAGCATGTATGAGCTCCCTCCATCAGAGGCTCCATGACACATTCCTCTGTGTATCACTTGCGCTCTCTCCGCCCTCGCTTTCCCTACTGAATCACGCTCTCTCACCCTTCTCTCTTTCCCTGCTGAATCATTATCTCTTCTCTTTACCTCTAGTCAAGTGTATCATCCACTTTGTCTCCAGTCCCCATTCTCAATTTGTATCTATTGCTTCCCTGCTATACCTTTTCTGTGCTGTCAGTCACTCACTCACTGTTTTTCACTCTTCCTTCCCTTGTTATTTCTCATTTCTTACCTCAAGCTCCTCTCTCTCCCTGCAGTATATCTCCTCTGTGTCTGCCTGCCTCTCCCTGTTATGTGAGGGGTGTCTGCCAGTGTCTGTTGGACCCAGTCACCCTGATGCGGTCATGCGCTGGCATGCTCTCTCTTGTGTAAACAGGTACTGTTTCAAATTAGCTCAACAAGTCATCAAGCAACACTGCTCAGGGGGACACAGCGGTTCACAGCAGGCGTTTCATGTTGTACAGTGCATTCAGAAAGTATTCAGATCCACATTTTGTTACATTACAGCCTTAATCTAAAATGTATTTTTAGAAAATAGGTTTTTAGAATTGTATGCACATTTATACAAAATAAAAAAATCACATTTACATAAGTATTCAGACCCTTTACTCAGTACTTAGTTGAAGCACCTTCGGCAGCAATTACAGCCTCGAGTCTTCTTGGGTATGACGGTACAAGCTTGGCTCACCTGTATTTGGGGAGTTTCTCCCATTCTTCTCTGCAGATCCTCTGAAGCTCTGTCAGATTGGATGGGGAGCGTCGCTGCACAGCTATTTTCAGGTCTCTCCAGAAATGTTAGATCGGGTTCAAGTCCGGGCTCTGGCTGGGCCACTCAAGGACATTCAGAGACTTGTCC